CCGGAAGTGAAGCTGTGGCTCAAGTGGTAGCTCACCGTGAGCTGAAGAGCTGAGGAACAGTGCCCAGGCCCAGAGTTCAGGCCCCATGACCGGAAAAAAAAAGATTTTAAAAAATGTATTCCAGTATGCTTTCATATTGTAATAAAGTACGTGGCACACAAACATAAAGTGCTAGCTCAGAACACACTACATAGTGCTGTCTCTATGAGTAGTTCAGTAACAAGCCTTGCATTTTGTAGAATTCTTGTGCCTATCATTGGACAGAGGGAACCAAAATTCTTACTATGAATGTCATATACCTGAAAAGTGAAGATATAGTTTGAAGGAATCAAGGTTTTCCAGATGACCAAACTGAATCTTCTGTACCCTGGTATATAAAAATGCGTTGTAGATTTTGAAGCTTTGATTTAGCTACAAATATATTTTTATAGAATTCAGTAATTATTTTCTGAATTGATAATATGATCTTACCATTGGATGGCTATCAATAGATAAATTTTCAGGCTCCCTTTTCTTTTCTAGGCATAGAAAATGTTGAGCCAACATTAGATTTCAGCCTAAAACCATGTGTAACATAGTTGATATGTGGCTATTTCAAACCACTACTAATTTTCTCTACTTAAAATGTCCAAACACATAGTGGCATTGAAAAATGCCATTGAAAAATATAAAAATGTTTGCTATTTAATGTATTTTAACTGTCTCTGACAGATAGCGTTTGGCATTTGCACTGTAAACTCAATGATTCTCAGTTTTGCCTGCTCTGTGGGTTTCAACTACTTCTGGAGTTCTCACATACTCTTCATAACTCATATTGTTCTCCTGGGTGTCATGTATTTTAAATTCAAATTGGATAACTTATCAGCCAGCTTAAGCTAAATCATTCTATCCTAATAACCTTCAACTCCAAATGATTTATAATAGGTTTATTTCTCTTTGCTTCATCTGTCATAGTCATTGGCTTTGTTCTATCACTGTGGATGCCAGTAAAGAAGCACACCCATTCTGAGACAGACCATTCTTGCCCCAAAAAGAAAAGACAGAATCAAGTGATGACTCAGCAGTGCCACATTACATCCTTTCACATTTCATCAAGGCCAAGCTTACCATCCAGTCTTTCCAATAGGAAGGACAAAAATTTTTAGAAACAATAATACAGTCTACCATAGAGGTCATTTTCTTCTTTAAGTAAATATTCTTGAAATGAACTATTTACAAAATGAACTTTATTTTTTAAGTTTTGCTAATATACAAGTAAGACTATCTTATCTCTGGGGTGGAGTTTTGTTGATTTTTCTATGGAGCAACAGAAAAAATAACAATTAAAATCACTTCCAAAAATTAATGTGTATTTGGAAGTACCATGAGTATAATTGTGTCCTAGGTACAATATAAAATACAAAGATTGAACTGAAATCTTCACCATAGAAACTTATAATAAAGGAAAAGAACTCCTTCATACTCTGCTCCCATTCTAGCTACCAAGGGACTCTCACAAAAAGCTTCCTATAGTATTTTAAGCCAGAGCATTCTAATTGGCTCAAATTTGATGAGTCAACTGGCTCAAATCTTCTCATTTTTTGTGTGATGTCACAATTAAGAAAAGTTTTATTGCATTTACATACATGGCAGATTTGAGAACACGAAAGAAAAAGCTAAAAAATAGACTTAAATTTTAATTGTTTTATGTTTGGGTACTTAATATATGATCTGCACATCTAAGGCCTTTCCCTCTTAATCAGTCTTCATTCTTTACTTTATTAGCTATTGCCAAATAGCTGATACCTTGGGCACTCAACCCAGTTTTTAATAACCTATCTTTGCACTATTCAATTTCTATTTCAAGATACCTTGGAAATGATTATTTTCTAAAGATAAAGTAAATGATATCATTTTGGGTTGCTAACTACTCTGTAAATGATATTTTATGATGAAACTGTTTAAAACAATACTGTTTGGCTTTTCAATAACAGGCATGACAAATGATCACACCGCACACCAAAATTTATTAAATCATGGGATGATAATAATAATAGCTAACAAAGTGCATTTGGCATTGTTCTAAGTGCTTACATGTATTGCTCAGTTAGTCCTTACAATACCGATGTGGTAAAGTATTAATAATACATTCTTTTATAGATGAAGGATTTATAATACTTCAATATAAATGGAAGTTCAGCTTTTGAAAAGTATTATGTTTGGTAGAGTTTATCAGTAAGGCTCAAGTTGGCTAGTTAAACAGGAAACCATCAGAAGAAAAGGAACTAGTAGCCAAAAGTCATTTAGAAGGTTTCCTGAGCCTTCTATTCTCCAAACAGATTTCAAAAAAAAAAATTTACGTAATTCTTTTAAGCAGTTAGGAAGGGGAAATTACTATCCCTTTACCTCTAGGTCAACAAATAATAATCCTTTAGTTTTCATGATATATTACATGTATATTGAGGTTATGGAATAATCTTGGACATCTGTCTTTCCTAATCTCCAAAGTAATATAGATGTTAAAAAAAAAGAAGTTCAGCAACCATTCTTGAAATCAGAATAGAAACAGAGAGCACTATTTCCATTTTATAAACTTTTAATGGTTGATTACTTGAAAGGGCTGTGGAAGGACAACATGTATATGATAGCTGCATCTAGAAGCAGCAAATAGAAAGCCTAAGAGCAGTTCTTACAACCATGTTAACCTGGAGAGCCTTTGTTTACTGGAGGTATTTTGGTGGACTAACATATATATGTAATATATATAATATATAGCATTTACATTATAAAATATATTCAATTAATATAGTCTGAGAACTGATTATTAGAATGGGCCAGCATAAAATACTATGCAAAGCTCTTTCTGAGCTCCCTTGATAGCTTTAAACTTCTAAACATTAGAATTTCATAGGAATATTTGACAAATTGAGAGAAAAAAATGGATGTCAGTAGCTTGAATATGTAAGGAAAAGGTGGTGTTCAATATTGATAATTACATCTATAAAAGTAGACATTAACTTTGCAAGTCATTGATAAGTCAGTTTTAAAGGATTACACAGGCCCCAGTGGCTCACATGTGTAATCCTAACTACTCAAGAGACTGAGATCTGAGGGTTGTGGTTCAAAGCCAGCCTGGGCTAAAAAGTCCATGATACTTTTATCTCCAATTAACCACCAAAAAGCTGGAAGTGGAGTTGTGGCTCAAGTGGTAGAGTAATAGCCTTGAGCACAAAACCTCAGAAGCTGTGTCCAGGCCTAGTTCAAGCCCTAGAACCAACACACACACACACACACACACACACACAGACACAGACACACAGACACTTTTTTTTTTTAAAGTTATGCTGGGGTAGTATTCATTGCCATTCCTCCAAACTTTCCATCCCTAAATATATCATTTCTTTCATTCAATATTTTTAAAACAAATAACAGTGTTAAGAAAAGCCACCCAAATAATGTGCAGTTATCTTTACTATGTCTTCTTTTTAAGAAAGGTAATTTTTTTTTTGTTTTTTGTTTTTGTCAGTCGTGGGGCCTGAACTCTAGGCCTGGGCGCTGTCCCTCACTCAGCTCTTCAGCTTAAGGTAAGAGCTCTATCACTTGAGCCACACAATCACTTCTGGATTTTTCTGCTTATGCAGTGCTGAGGAATTGAACCCAGGGCCTCATGCATGCAAGGCAAGCACTCTACCACTGAGCCACCTTCCCAGCTTCCCAGCAAGCCGATTAAATGCTTTACATATGATCACTGTTCCCATGTTTTTTCAGTTATAGATAGAAAAAACCTTAAACATGGCAAGGCTGCCACATTCCAAAGGTCACATAACCTGTAGGTACAGCCAGATTCTCCAGTTACTAATCTAGTATAATATTTTAAGATTCAAGAGATTACTAAATCTAATGCTCAATTAATAGTGCACCTGACACACGCCCTTCCTGTTCTCATGAAAATCATCATGTCAACCTGTGTGGATGGCAGCATTTAAAGTTCATTGTCTCAGGAAATTGTTTAAAACAATTTTTATCCTAGAGTAGAATGTACGTAGGTTCAGGGACTAATTCACAGTTAGTCCCACAGATCCAGTGGATTTAGAGAACCAGTATTCTATCGAGATGCTTCTATCTTAAAACAATGAAGCAGCTTTTAAAATAGAAAAAAAAAACAAAAAACCAAAAACCCACAACCCCCTACAATGTTGCTTTCAAGCAGACCACCATAAACAATGGAATCATTGCTGTTCAAAGATTCTTAAGTATTTGGGGGTCAATTTAAAACAACAACAACAACAAAACAACTTTTGAAAAGGAAACCCATTCTATTCTGTATTTCTTCCCTTTTCGTCCTCAAAAGACATCAGCCCTCCTATTGGCTTAAATCGCATAGCTGAAAGGATTTTGCTCATTTTTTCCAAAACATTTCCCATCTGGGTAGAAGCCAACCATGGAAAGTTTCAAGAAAATTTGGGAGAGGAATGAAGCATGTCCTGGTCAGCCTTTGAAGGACGGTGGTGCTCAGAGGAGTCAGCCCCTGGTTAGATTAGATAGCTGGGGTCCGCAGTAAGGCCAGACCGGCCCCTCTCCTACTTCGGGTCGGACGCCAGCCCCAGCCCCACGCCGCGGGCCGTCCTGCCCTTTTCTGCGCCCACTAGCTCGTGCCCACTAGTTTTCCACACAGCTCCAGGCCCCAGAGACGATAAGGACTTACCCGCCCCATAAACCACGAGACACCTGAACCCAATAGTCCCCAATTAGAACAGTCCCCAGGAACCTGAACCAAGGGGCTATTCCAGAGCCAGTCCAGCTCCCCTACCTCACACGTCAGTTCGATCCCTCGCCCCGCCCGACTCTGCGCAGCCGGCGCGGAGAGAAATTTGACTGCTACTACCACCAATCAAAAGAGAGGTCGAGCGTAAGAGCCAATCGGAGAGGGCATAGGGGGCGGGCCGCCGGCGTCGTCCCGCCCCCGGGTGGGTGCGCGCGGAATGTCCCCAGCCCTCCCCTGCGCGCCCGCCTCAGTGCGGAGCCCTCGGCGGTGCGCGGAGCAGCTACCGGCCCCAGCAGCCTCAGGGACGGCGACGGCGGCGGCTGCAGTTGCAGGAACCGTAGCCGCACCACTCCTCAACGCCGCTGACCTCTCCTCTCTTCCTCTCGCCGTCCCTCCCGTAGCCGCGTTCGGGGGACCAGAGCGGCCACCCACGCCCGGAGCATCCTCCTCAGTCTTGCGGGCGCCGACGGACGCGGAGGCATGATGCGGCTGCGAGGCTCGGCGACGCTGCGGGACCTGCTCCTGCGGCCGCCCGCTCCGGTCTGCGCGGCTCTGAGGAGGGCGCAGCCCCTGGCGACGCTG